CCTCCCTGCAGGCCGATGTCCAGCACGCAGTCCAGCTCCTGCTGGGATTGCAGCTGCACCCAGCTCACCACCACCGGCTCGTGCTCGTGCTCCTTCAGCTCTGGGAGGTTTTCCCCCAGCAAATGTTTCACGTCGGTGACGCTGAGTTTCTGCAACACACACACAGAGCATCCCCTTCCCTCACCCTCACAGCCCCAAACGCTTTGCTAACGGGGCTGCAGAGCAACTGAAACTTCCTAAAGGAAAATTATAAAGGTGAGAATGTGGAGAATTGGTGATTTGGTTGGGCTCCACCCTCAGCCAGCCCTGCCCTTCCCTGGGGAGAGAGGCAGCAGCACCCCAGGGCTGTACCTGCAGCTCCTGAGGATTTAGGGTGAGGAAGGTGCTCAGATCCATGTTTATGGCCACACCAGCATTAGCCAAATCCTTCAGATCTTCTGCTGGAGCTCCACCTTAAAGAGAGCCCAAGGAACACCTGGAGATGTGCAAACCCTGCCAGCATTTCTGGGGAGGATTTGGGGAGGTTCTGGAGGCTGCCAGACCTGTCTGTGGCTGAGAAGAGACCCCGAGCCTGGTGTTGGGAGGGAGGGTGAGGGGAAGCACCTACCCAGGTATGGCTGGATCTGGCAGTAATAGGAGCCAGGGGTGCTGGCCAGGCTGGCAAAGGCCTCCCGGGCCTTCTCATAGAGCTGATCTTTCTTGGTTTGGGAGCATGAAGAGATTTCCAACCGCCCAGCAGTCCTGGAAGGGAGCACAGGTCAGCCCTGATGCCTTCAGTTTGAGCTTTCCTGTTTCCCACATTCTGGACTGCATTGGTACAGAACTCTGAACTCCACAGAAAGTGTCAGCAGTTCTCCTCACAGCTCAGGCACACAGAACAATCCTTGTCCAGCCCCAGAACCAAGGACACCGCTGCAGCTCCAGGCCCAAAAAATGCAAACAACAGGGAATGGAGGAGAGCAGTCTGGGAGGGTGGGACTGCAGAACCTGAGCTGGAATCGGACAATGAACCCCAACATGGAAATGGACCAAAACTTATAAAAGTGTGAGAACTCCTGACCCATTGTCCATCTTGGGTGTAGCCACAGCCAGGCCCTTGTACTGCCCAAGGTGAATCATTTGAGGCCTTTTAATAAATCCCTGCTTTATTCCTTTAGCTCTGCCCAGCCTCTGCTCCAGGCAGCCTCTCAAGGTGTCAGCAGCACCCCAAATTACAGNTATAACACACACAGTATAACACAGTATAACACAGTATAACACACACAGTATAACACAGTATAACACAGTATAACACACACAATATAACACAATATAACACAATATAACACAATATAACACACACAATATAACACACACAATATATATTATTAATATAGTAATAATAAATTTTAATTATAATCAATATAGTTGGTTGAAATTGATTTAAATCAATTTAATTATAATCAATATAATATTAAATAATAAATAATTAAATAATGTATAATTTACTATTACTATTTAATTAATAGTTATACTATATTAATATTAATATTAATATATTTTTATAGAATAAATATATATTATATAGAATAAATATATATTTATATAGAATTAATACAGAATAAATATATATTTATATTGAAAAATATATAATTATTTATTTATATGGAATAGCTTTAATATCTATATAGAATGAATATTATTTTTATTTTTATTTATAGTTTATTTCTACATTATTAATATATAATACATAATAAATATTTAACATATTTTATCTCTTTTTTATTAATTATATTTTTAAAAATCCCATTTCTATCTGTAACACGAGCTCCATCGGCACAATCCTAACCCTTCTGTGTGTGTGTTTCCCCAGCTGCTGACGCCCGGGGAGGTGCAGGGGCTGCTGGGGCTGCACCTGCCCGAGCTGGCGCAGTGGCAGAGCAGGGCCCCGGTGCGGGACTGGGCGGCGCTGCAGAAACAGTCGGAGCTGGACAAGCTCCACATCGGCCTCACGGGGGGCGTGCAGGAGGGCTACATCAACCTGGTCACCCCCAAATTCCCAGGTGGGTTTGGGGCCCTGCTGGTTGGGCTTTCACGGTTCTTTTGGGGTTGGACGGACGTGTGTGTGCTAAGGAAGGCAGGAGCCTCCCCTGAAATGGAAAATGGAAAATCCCCCACTATTACAGCGACCTTAGACGGTCACTGTGGTGAGAGAAGGACGAGAATCTTGTTTCTTGATCAGAAGGCTGATTTATTCATATAAGATATATNGTCCCCCAACCGGTCCTGCAGCCCCAGGGCTGGGTTGACGCCCATGGGTGTTGCTCGTTTCTATTTTGGAAGGATTTACTGTGAAAATAGCTCCTGTTGGGACAGTAAAATTACAGAATGCTATGGGGCTGCTGGAGGCACACAGCCCCTGCCTCAGGCTGGCTGGACAGAGGTGGCTGGAGCAGGAGGGCAGGGACACATCAGGGCCACTGCGGGGGTCACTGCGTCCACTGTGTCTCTGTGGAGATCAAAGCTGGCCCTGAAACCCCCTCGGGAGCCGCCACTGGAGGATCCACCCAGAACTTGAACATGTGGAGGAACATTGCCCCAGGCATTCCTGGGGACATTGCCAGGTCAGCTGTGAGCTCTGACTGCAGGTCCCTGTGCCAGGAGGGCTGGGAATGCTCCCCTCCCTTTACCAGTGGCCCTCTGCCCACATCTGGTTCATAATCTTCAAAAAAATCTCCCAGTCTTAGAGACTGCAATAATTCCTTAGGTCTTCAATCAGTTTTTATTCCGCTCCAACCTGAGGGATGAGTGTCCCTCACACAGCAATCCTCTAAAATTCCATCCTCCCTCACACAACAATCCTGCAGCTCACACAACAATCTTCCCCCACACAACAATCCTCTCACACTCAATCCTGTCCCTCACGCAACAATTCAACCCCTCACACAACAATCCTGCAGCTCACACAACACTCCTCTCCCTCACCCAACAATCCTTTCACACACAACAATCCTTTCACACAAAAATCTTCCCCCACACAACAATTCTCTCACACTCAATCCTGTCCCTCACACAACAATCCTGCAGCTCGCACAACAATCCTCACACAACAATCCTGTCCCTCACACAATAATCCTTTCACACTCAATCCTCTCTCACACAACAATCCTACCCCTCACACAACAATCCTCTCACACAACAATCTTACCCCTCACACTCAATCCTGTCACACTCAATCCTCCCTCACACAACAGGTCGGCCGGGCCGGGTTGGAGCCCCAGGGCCGCTCCCACGGGGCCGGTCCGGCCTCATTCCCCTCATTCCTGGAAGCCCCCGGGAAATGGATGCAGAGAGCAGACAGTGAAGGGCAGAGACACGTTTAATACAGCAAATACACCAAAACCGGAACTGCGGAGTGCACGGGACATCACAGCCACACCACAACCCCAGGGCACGAGAGGAGCCGCAGCCCCGCGGGCAGGAGGGAACAGGACGGGGACATTGGCCTGGAAAGCAGCCGGGAAGGGCGCCTAGAAAACTCTGCAGGGTAAGGAAAATTCCCTCTCTTTTATCTGTGGCGCTGGGGAGAAGCAGCACGCAAAGGCTGGGCTGGGGTGTGAGGGCTCCTCCACACAAACATGGCGGGCTCAGGTGCCAGCCATGTCCCCATGTCCCTGCGATGTCCCCATAATGTCCCCACAATGTCCCCGTGTCCCCATCCATGTAGCCATGTCCCCATGTTCCCACCCCTCATCCCGGCCGTGTTCCCAGCAGGAACCGCTCCCAGCGCAGGCAAGGCTGGGTCCCCCCTGTGACATGTGAATTCCTGCTGTCACTCTCCAGCACCTCCCGTGCGCGTCACCCCTCGAATCTTTGGCAAACAGGTTCCTTCCTGGCCGCGGGACCTGCCCGGCCCTTCCCGGGCACACGGCCTGGCAGGAAGGACAAGGGGCTCCTGATCCTCCTGCTCTCAAAGCCCCCTGGCACCGGCCCTGAGCCCACCGTGCCCGCTCAGTGCCCAGGGCTGGCACCTCAGGCCATCCCCACCCTGCAGGGGTGGCACCAAGCCACAAAACAAAGGGACACTTAGGACAGGTGACCCAATTCTCCCTCCACCACCCCGGGATTTCGGTGACTTGCAGGGTGTGTTTATCCACAAGGAGAGGGCTGCGACTTTTTATCCCCCTCGGGGTGGGAATATCAGCTGTGTGAACCCCATCATGTGTGTTTTCAACGGGATGGGGCTGGTGAGGTGACAACAACTCTGGGTACGTGCTGAAGTGGTGCTTGAAAGCCCTGGGATGGGGCTGTGTGTCTCCAGCTGTCCTGTTCTCCTCATTTCCAAATGTCCCCCACGGGCAGCAGAGGATGAGCAGGGAAGGGGAAAGCGAAGCAGGATGACCAGCAAAGCAAGGGCACTTACGAGGAAATTTCTTGGCATCTGTCAAAGCTGAGCTCCTGCCTGCTCTTCCCATCAGTTCTCAGCCTTTCTTTCACCTTTGTCCTTTTCTTACTGTTGCAGAGCTTTCCCAAACTGCCCAGCTGAAGGACCTGCCTGCAGGACCCTCTGGAAACCTGCCAGGCAGGAACCACCCCATGGGACCTACACAGGACACTGGTCCCTCCTCAGGTGGGTGAGCAGAAAGGGACTTGTGTCCTCTGACCTGAAGCAGGGATAAAAGCAGGAAAGGCAGTGCTAGAAGAAGGAATAATAAAATCCATTAAAAAAGCTTTGGGCTGCTGGCTCTCTGACCACAGAAGTACTAAAAATACCTCATTCCTGAGACCACCCGTATTTTACAAACCCTAAAAGACTAGATTCTCTTCCTAGAAAATTGAAAAAAGTTTAAAATCCATCGGTATCAACTCCTTCACCTTCACCAAACCTTTAAAAACCGCCCAGGTGGGATGAGGGAGGGAGGGGGCAAGGAGCAGGGACCTTTCCATGCCCATCCCAGTCCAGTTTCACAGGACACCCTGGGACTGGGGGACTCTCAGTGTCCCCAGAATGTGCTCCAGGCCCCAGTCATGGCCCAGCAGCTGGAGTGAGGGAATGGGGGACAGGGACACTGGAGCAGCACCTTCTCCCCTCCCTATGCTGGGCTCCAATTCTGCATCCAAGCATGGAAAGGTTGTGGTAATGTCCAAGGCAAAGGCAGTGCCCAGCTGTGCCCGAGCGCCAGGACAGGCAAGGAAAGCTCTGGGGTCACTCTAAGCTGGAGTGTGACACACTCTGCTGCTGAGGCTCAGAATTGGGAAAGGGACATCCCATGACCAGATGGATGATGGACATCACAAAATAACCCCACCTCAACCCCTCCTAAAATCCACCTGGTGCCAGCCCCAGGAGCGAGGGAAGCCACAGAGGGAGTGCAGGTGTGGAGGCAGCGCCGGGCTCCGTGGGGACCCGCTGGGACAAGGCTGGAGCTGGAGATGCAGGGAGGTGCTTTGTGCTCACTCCAGAGCCCACTCAGCCAGCCACTGCTCACACTGCACCCGCTGCTCCTCTGTCTCCTCCCTGCTGCCTTCCCCCCCTGCTCCCTCCTCTCTGGCAGCTTCCTGGCTCTCCTCCTCCTCCTCCTCCTCCTCCTTGTGTGTCCCCTTGTCCTTGAGCTCCTGGATGACATCCTCCAGCCGCTGGGTGACGTGCTGGGGCACCCAGTTGCTGTCCATGGCGGTGACGAAGGGGTCGGGCGCGCACACCTCGATCAGCTCCTTGCCCGTGGGGATGCGCAGGTAGTAGGCGTGGAGCATCATCCTGTAGGGATTGCTGTCCTGCCGGTGGCTGTAGGTGAAGTCCCCCACGATGGGGTGGCCGATGGCGCTGCAGTGAACCCGGAGCTGGTGAGTCCTCCCTAGGGGGAGAGCGGGAATCAGGGATGGGGAATTCCTGAATGCCTCCTTCAGGGCATGGTGACACTGCACCTAATGGCATTTGTCCCCCTGCTTCCCTCATCCCTTTCCAGGCTCTGCTCCACATCAGAGCTGCCCCTGTCCCCACCTGTCAGCGGCTGCAGCAGCACTTTGGTGACGGGGTCTCCACTGTAGGATCCATGTTCCAGCACGATCAGCTCCGACTGGCACGGCTTGGGATTCTCACAGCCTGCAAGGAGATCCAGAAAGGGTTTGTGATGCCCCAGGGCATCCCTGGGGGCATGGGCAGAGCAGGGGATGGGGCTGCTCACCCTCTGTGCCCTCAATGCACATCATGTGGGTCATGCCCTCCGTGGTGTTCTTCCCGATGGCGTAGCGGATCGACATCCGGCTCTGGCTCACGTGTCCCCTCACCTGGGGACAGGAACGTGCACACTGAGCCCAGGCACGTGCTCCTCACCCACCCCCCATGGAATCACAGAAAGGATGGGGCTGGAAGGACCTTAAAGCCCATTCATTTCCCCAAGCCCAACTCCTTGTCGGGGCAGGGACACCTTCAACATTGCTGCCAGCCCCATCCAAGCTGGCCTTGGACACTTCCAGGGATGGAGCAGCCACAGCTTCTCTGGGCACCCTGTGCCAGAATTCCTTCCTGATATCCAACCTAACCCCACCCTCTGGCAGTGGGAAGCCATTCCCTGTGTCCTGTCCCTCCATGCCCTTGTTCAAATCCCCTCTCCAGCTCTCTTGGAGCCCCTTTAAGCTCCAACACTGAATCTTTCTCCTCTCCAGCTGAACACCCCCAAGCCCCTCAGCTTTCCCTCAGGGCAGAGGTGTTCAGGAACACCAGAAGGCCAAGCAAGAGAGGGCAGGAAGGGCAGGAGATGGCAGGGAGGGCTCACCAGGGCCAGGTAGGCTTTGGTCACCAGGCGCTCCTTGAAGCACTTGTAGGCACTTCCCGCCGCCGCTTTGTTGAGTGCCACACACAGAGCCCCGCTGGTGGAGAAATCCAGCTGGTGGCAGAACCTGGGAAGGACACGGGGGTACAGGAGCAGCCAGGGCATCTCAGGAGC